AAACAAATCAATTGAGCGTGTTAAAGGCCACGCAGAGTGAAGCCATTTTCTCAGATAATTGAAAGCTCCTGCTGCCACGTACACACAACGCTCATTTAATCAATCAGCTAAACAGTCGATCCATCAATCAATCAATCAATCAATCAATCAGTCAATCAATCTGACGAACGCACGAACAGCAGCAGAGCAGCGGACGCGCGGACTCTGTGAGGTGTGTGTGATTCAGTTGCCAGCTAATTGCAATTAGTGTGCGCGACTTTGACAGCTACTCTGACAACAGCAACAACAGCAAGGATAACAACGAGGATAACAATAACAACAACAGCAGCAGCTACAGAAATAACAACACGAATAGGCAGCTAGGTCAAGCTGTTGCCTGGGGTTAAGGGTTAGGGTTAACTTGTCAAGTGCAATACTAAGCAAAACAAAGTCGCTGGAGCACTGCAGTGGGGTATGCTCGACTAGCACATACCTTGCATTCCAGATAGAGATAGAGATAGAGATAGAGAGAGAGATAGAGATAGAGATAGAGATAGAGATAGAGATAGAGATAGAGATAGAGATAGAGATAGAGATAGAGATAGAGATAGAGATAGAGATAGAGATAGAGATAGAGATAGAGATAGAGATAGAGATAGAGATAGAGATAGAGATAGAGATAGAGATAGAGATAGAGATAGAGATAGAGATAGAGATAGAGATAGAGATAGAGATAGAGATAGAGATAGAGATAGAGATAGAGGTAGATTCATCATTGAAGGCAACCTGTAACATACGCTCTAACAGCAGCAATATACCCTGTAAAAAGCGTTTAATGCAATGAAGCTCGCCTGCAGCACTTGTAGCTCAAGCAGTTGAGACTTAAGCAAGCTAAGCACAGGCTTAAGGCTTTACAGTCAAAGACAGCTAGAGATTGGCTTAGTTGCTGTCAGTTGCATAGCATTTGACAAGCACTTGAACTTGTAAATGCCAAATTGATTATAGGAAAGTGTGAAAGACTTAACTGGCTGGCTGGATTTGCTACTCATTCTGCTTTATAAACCTAATATCAGTTAATATTAAGACTTGTCAAGTGTGCGGACAACTATCAGACTTGGCTGTACGTAAAGTCTGTTTGAACTTAACATGCGCATTTAACATGAACTTTACCAAGAACATTAAAGACTTTAGCCTGAAACTGTTTAGAAGAACTCTTCTCAGTCTTTGACTTGAGAAATCTTGTAAGATTTGTGAAAACTTTCCACACTGCTAGTTGATTGTTGGCAGCACTATTTTGCAGAGTTGCCAGACTGCAGCAAATTGGTGTAAATGTCAAAGAGTCTAGCGCAGCTTTGAAGGCTACCAAATGGACTAGCAAATGGCGTTTCGCAATGCTGTCAATGCAATGCACCCACACGTACACAAGCACACCTACACAAGCACACCTACACACACACACCCGCACACACACAGAAAGAGCCGCGCAGCTAAGCTTTTGTCAGGTTTCAGTTTAGTTTGGATGCTGCAATCAGCGCAATATGCTACAAAGCAAGAAATGTCACAGGCTGAAGGGGCAGAGGGAGCCAGAGAGAAAGAGAGAGAGAGAGAGATGTAGGAAGTAAAGTAGCGAGGGGAGGGATACAGAGGCAGAGCTAGAGCCAAGCCAGCCAGTTTATATTTCCTGGCCAGCACACACACACACACATACACATACATGGACAAAGTGTGTCAAAGCAAATGTGGCATGTGGCAACATGTGGCCACAGACAGTGGCTGAGCAAAGTCGTGGCCCGAGTTGGGCTTTTGCATTTGGTGTCTTTTGTGCATGTGGCTCGGGTCGGCCGGATGGATGATGGGGCCCGGGCGCGTTGCCAAAGTGCCTGCGGTTATGCGGCAATGTGGTGCACTAGCTATAGCTATAGCTGTAGCTGTAGCTGTGGCTTTGGCTGTGCCACCAAGGCTGTGCTTGCAGCGTGCAACGTTACGAAACTGAAACCGAAACTGAAACTGAAACGAGCCGCATTAACGCCGCCTTTAAAATTTATGATATTTACTCGAAGCAGCAGACGCCAACGACGATGGCGACGGCGACGGCGACGGCGACGAGTCGAGCGGGGGCGGCAGGTGTAGGCGTTGCTCGTTGCAGGTGCACACGTTGTATTGTGGCCACGTGCCAGCAGCCAACGGCTGGCTGCTTACCACTGCCTCTGCCCCTGCCCCTGCCCCTGCCTCTGTCTCTGCTTCTGTTTCTGCTTTTGGCTCTGGCTCTGCTTGTTCGCTTTGGTTATGCATTTTTTATGGGCTCACATCAAAGCCAACTAACTTGGCAATCAGAGCAGCTGCTTGGGCCAGGCCAATGAGGCAGCTGCCTCGACGACTCAACGATGACTCATCGGCCACTCAAGACGCTCGGCCATTGCACTGACTTACCACATACCCTGTGATTGGGCTCTGACGGAGCTGCTAAGCGAGCCATCTTGTGGTGTGGAGTGGTTTGGGTTCGCAATCACTAATCTGACTTTGTTTTAAGCAAATCGAAAACTTCCTTGAAAACTACTTCTCTCTCTCTCTCTCTCATTAACTCTCTTTGAGTAGATCTTATCTATGCACTTTATATGCCTCTCTATCAGTTTAAGCTTCATTTTTAAATCATGTTGTCTTTCGCACTCTCATTCTTTGCATCTCTGTTCCTCTTTCTCTGTCTTTGTATCTCTCTTTCTATTCTTCTATTTGATTCTTTATATTTTTTCGTCTCTATCGCGTATTCTTCGTCTCTTTCTTCCTCTTTCTTCCTCTTTATCTATCGAATCTCTCTCTCATTCTCACTGTACTTCTCTCTCTCTCTCACTCTCTCTCTCTCTCTCTTTCTCTCTCTCTCTCTCTCTTTCTCTCTCTCTCTCTTTCTCTCTGTCTTCCTCTCATTTTCATTGTATTTCTCTTTGTCTCTCTCTCCCTTTCTCTTTGTCTCTCTCTATCTCCCTCTATTTCCCTCTTTATCTCCCCCCTCTCTCTCTCTCTCTCTCTATATCTTTCTTCCCCTCTATCTACCAGTCTGTTCCACTCTTTCGTTGTATCAATATCTTACTTTGACTCATTTACATTCGATCTCTTTAATCTTCTACTTATCTTTCACTCTGTCTCCGTGTCTCTCACTCTCTTTATATATCAATATGTCTGTCAATTCTAACTTTCCACTCTCTCGTTCGCTTCACGCCCAAAGTCTTGCCTCACTTAAGCGAGCATAATATCTGCCTGAGTCCAGGTAAACCTCTTGCTCGCAAGGTGCATGCTGCACTTGCCTCGAATCTCTTGCATACTTCATGGGGCGAGCAGAGATTATGAGGGGGGGTGTGGGAGGATAGGTGAATGTGGCATATTATGCACACTAACCAACTGCCTTCATTCACTATGATTGGCCTTTCAATTTCAAAGCAATGCCCCAAAGGCCACAGCGAGAACTCTGCAAAAGCAAGAGCAAGAGCAAAAGCAGATGCAGAAGCAGAAGATAAAGCTGAAGGCAAAGCAGCTGCAGCAGCAGCCTTCACATTCATTTTCTTGGCTGGGAAAAGTTTTATCCATAGCTGCATTTGGATTCTAGTTAAAGTTCTTAGCTCAGTGCCGCGCCGCCCGTGCACCTGTCAACACCTGAGCCGAGCTGAGCAGAGCTGAGCTGCCGTCGCCTTTACTCCTTTCGCAAGGCGTTCGCATCGTTTTTTGTAATTTTCTTAAGTGTTTGTCTGTCTGCCAGATAAAATTATTAGCAGCCATGTTCTGTCGTCGCTGCTGGATTGATTTTACTGCCGGCGAGGAGGACTACGTCGTGTGCGCCGGTCCCTGTGCCTGGCCCTATCACGCCACCTGCGCCGCCGTCCCACGGGAGCTGGCGCGTGAGTTACGACGCAGCAGCTCAAACAACTTTGACACAAACTTTCCCAGCTTCGGTTTCGGCTTGGGCCTGGGACTGGGCCTGGGTTCTGGCTCAGGCTTGGGTCCCAATGCCGGATCCGGTTCCAGTTCCGGCTCCGGCTTGGAATGGTACTGTCACAATTGTCGTCAACTTTATCGCCTGCAATTGTTCTTTGAGGTATCTATAAGAAAATCGTGTTCCCAGATACAGACACAGACACAGATACAGATACAGATACAGATACAGATACAGATACAGATACAGATACAGATACAGATACAGATACAGATACAGATACAGATACAGATACAGATACAGATACAGATACAGATACAGATACAGATACAGATACAGATACAGATACAGATACAGATACAGATACAGATACAGATACAGATACAGATACAGATACAGATACAGATACAGATACAGATACAGATACAGATACAGATACAGATACAGATACAGATACAGATACAGATACAGATACAGATACAGATACAGATACAGATACAGATACAGATACAGATACAGATACAGATACAGATACAGATACAGATACAGATACAGATACAGATACAGATACAGATACAGATACAGATACAGATACAGATACAGTTATAGAATTGGTATTCAGATTTCTTTCTTCCTCATTATTTTAATCGCCTCCCCTTGCTCTCCATGCACTTTTCCATACACTTCAGCCATAATTGTTGTTGCTTTGCAGATTTTCATACTGTGCACTGCCACGCCCACTGTCGCTCAATCTAAGGGCCCGCCCACCTGGTCGACTGTGCACTTGACAAACAGATTTCCAGCGGCGTCGCCATTTTTAATTGTAACTGTAATTTAGCCATTGTGCTTCAACACTTTTGATGACGCAGCGTGTTCCCCCATCTCTCTCCCTCTCCCTCTCTCTCTCTCTCTCTCTCTCTCTCTCGTTCTCTCTTTTGTTCTATGTAAGCACAGCTGGCACCACTTGGCGTATGTGCGTCGCGTTCTTTAGCTCAACTTGAAATTGTTATTTTTAGCATACAAATTGCGTGAAGCCTCTCATTCCGTAGCTCTCTTTTTCTAACCTTTCTCTCTCTCTATCTCTCTCTCTCTTTTGCAGATTGCCATCTGTGATGATTACAGCCTGCCTGTAGACTTTGTTAAGAAACGACCGTCCAGTTTCGATCCCTGCCTGGCCGAGGCAATACCAACGAATCCGGAGCATTGGATAGCGCCGAGTCCACAAACTGAATTTGTAAGTCTGACTCAACAATGAACTAGTTCCGACATATCCATATGATACAAGCTTACTTTATGGGTTTCTTTTGATAAATTTCAAAATATGTATTTTAATCTAGAATCTAGAGTTTGGGCCTGATTGAACTAGTTTGCATATGAACCATTTACTTCTAATGAACTGAACGAATAACTGAACACATGGAAATTGAAATGTGCTTTAGAGCAAATGAAATTTAATGTAGGCAGCGTCTGGAGCATTAAAGCTTTCACTGGAATGAATGAAATCTTTGACAGACTTTGAAGTGGGGGCTGCAGCTGGAGATGGAGTTGAGGGGGGGAGGGGTTTCAGTGTGGGCTGTCATTGGTAAAAAGCAATTAACTGCCCTTGGGCAGCTAATTGATAAACTGCACGCACCGACGACGAGGACGACGGACGACGGACGACGGACGACATCGATGAGGACGTCGAGCGCATCGGCAATGCGCTAATGAAAAGCATGAAAAGAATTTTTCTCATTGCTGGCAATGTTCGACGTACTCGAATGACTTCTCCCCCCACAGATTGACGAGCCTTTTGATTATTTAACCGGAGCGAACAAAAGCGTCGCTCAAACAATGCACCAAGTCTATTGGCTAAATATTGCGAAATAGCTGGAAAAAATACAGCAAATAGCCAACCCTCAGCTCCTGCTGATCCCCCTGCGGCTCCTCCTGCTCCTGCTGTTGCTGCCCAGCGGGTGGTCAGCCATAAAAAGCGAGCTGAAAAGGCCTGAGATACTAAGTATTATGAAAATGTATGTATGAAGGAAGCGAGAGAGAGAGAGACAGACTGACTGAGAGAGGGAGTGAGAGAGAAGAGCTCAGCCAGCGGGCACAGGACGTGTGCGAGGAGCCTGCAGCAAATGTTGCCACAAATCAAATGTTATGCTGCCGCTGCTTCTGCCCCTCGGCTCTGTCTCTGTCCCACATGCGCCACGTAACCCCGCCTGCCAAAAATCTCGGCCCGTTATCTCGAGAGTCCGCAAAAAAATTACGTTACGGCGCTCTTTTTTAGATACCCGCTCAGTCAACTGAACAGAGCGAGCATATTGGCTTGCCTGAGTATAGAGAGAAAGCGATTAAATATTGGAAATATATAATAAATATACACGTATTGTCGTATATGGTATATATATTGTATGTATATACAGTAAGCTCCGGCTATAACGACTCCGCTTATAGCGTTTTTATGGTTATAGCCACGAAAGTTCCGGTCCCCAGACAAACTTTTATGAGCAAACGTATACGGTTATAGCGCCTTACGGGTATAACGACGGTCCTTTGAGTGTCGTTATAGCCGGATTATACTGTATGATGAATCAATCAGTCATTCCCTATGCAAGAGAAAACAACTGTATAACGAGTCTACAGTCTATTATATCTATCTATAATATATGTGTATGTATATGTATATATCTATAATATATGTGTATGTATATGTATATATATATATATATATATGTATATGTATATAGGTGTCTACGCCCGAACTTCCTCTCTCTCTCACCCTCTCTCTTTCTATCTCTCGCTCTCTCGCTCTCTCTCTCTCTCTCGCCCTCTCTCTCTATCTCTCCCTTTCTCTCTCTTTCTATCTCTCGATCTCTCTCTTTCTCTCTCTCACTCTCTCTCTTTTTGAGAGAGTGACTCTCTCTCTCTATATATATCTCCATCTCTCCTTCTCTCTCTCTCTATCTCTCTCTCACACTCACTCTGTCTCTCTCTCACACTCTCACTCTATCTCTCTCTCTCTCTATCTCTCTCTCTCTATCTCTCTCTCTCTCTCTCTGTCTCTCTTGCAAGCCGGAGCTGAGAAGCATATTGCCATTACATAGGCTCATTCGCTTCATTCCTGCATCTGTATCATATTCGAAGACGACATTACTGACACGACAAATGAGCGAGTATTGTGCAGTCAGTGTCTGCCGATTGTAGCAATCTCTATGCACATTTGGTCTCTCACTTTTTGTCGGGGCTGGAGTTTGGAATTTCGGTTTTTATGGCCGCATGCGAAATATTTGTGCTCGTATTGTGTGTTCTGTTGTGCCTCGTTGTTATCCTGTGTGTTGCTGTTGCTGCTGCTGTTGTTGTTATTGTCCTTTTGCATATTGGTCGTAAAGTGAAAGCGAGAGTGAAAGCGGCTGCTGCGTCGCCATGGCAGCGCATAAAAAACGTTGCTTTGCCACTTGAATTTCTTTTTATTGAAATTTGTTTAGCCGCAAGCCCCCAAATGAGTGTGTGTGTGCCCGAGTGTGTGTGTGTGTGTGTTAGTGTTGTAAATGTGGCCGAAATTGCGCAGCAAATGTTTTCATTGGCTTGCAGCTTGTGCTGTGGCTGCCTCGCACAGAGCCGGCCAATTGGCAAAATATTCACATTCGATTCGTTTTCGTATTCACAAATATTCACTCTGAATAGCGAATGAGCGTGATTGAATATTAAGTTGCCAACATTGTTGGCCAAATTCAACATGCTAAGCGGCCAATTGCTGACGAGTTTTGGGCAGTTTTCTGTTTGAGTTTGCCTTTCGTAAACGTTTACCTGGCTGCCTCTTTGTGGGATTCATCTTCTTGAAGCTAATTCTTCGATTTGCTTCTCAATCTTTCTATTTTGCTCTCTAAGTCTGTCTCTCTCTAAACCTAAATATTTTTACCTCTTCCTTCCATTTTCTCTTGAGCAACGACAAAGGAAAGAGTGACCCGATGTGTTTTTACTTGTTCTCTCTTGCTCACTCTCTCTCTCTCTGTCTTCCATTCTGCTTCCTTCGATCTTTATCTCTGTATCCCATGCTGTCGATCCCTCTCTATTGCTATGTCGTTCTCTCCCTATGTATGTAGCCCTCTCCCCTTCTTTCTTCGTTACTCAATTAGGTTCTCCCTCTCTCTGAGTGCCCATATCTCTATTTGTCTATGCCCTTTCTTCTCTACTTTCAGATTTCTTCTTTCTTCCCGTTCTTCCGTTCTTCCTTTCTCTCTGCTTTCTTTCATTCGTCCTATATTTCTCTATCTCTCTTTCTTTTCTTTTCTCCTCTATGTATGTCTTTGTATCCCTCTGCTGCCTCACTCATCCACGTATTTATCTCTCAATTGCGAGCCATTCGTAAACGTTTTACTGGCTGTTCACATTTGGCGTTGCTCTACACACAGCGCTATCAGCACTAAGCCGATTTCCCCCCTTAGTTGAGTGCCCCCCCGCTAAGTGCTCTGCTCCCCTTTTCACATTCGCTTTGAGCCGAGCCAATGGCCCAAAGCGTTAACGTTTAGCGCCTCTTCAACTGTGTTCCATGTACGCCATGTCCATTTGGGCGCACGCCTCCCTCTTTCTCTCTCGCTCTCTCTCTCTTCTCTCTACTCTCCTTCCCTATCGTCCTCTCTCATTCCCACTGCTTTACAGTTATTAATGTAATTTTTTATCTTATGACTTTTGTTTTGCGTAAACAGCCGCGACGCGTGTTCTGTTCACATATAAAAAGCTGCAGGCTGTATGTGGGTGTGTGTGTGTGTGCTATATAAATACTGGCCATGTTGTTGTTTTTGTTGTTGTTGTTTTTGGCACACGTTTTAATGGCAAACGCGCGCGACATTTTTGCGATATGAAAAACGTCGAAGCAAACGCCCACACCGCCCCGCCCCTTTCCTTTAGCCAGTCGCCCCCGTCTATACAGCGTCGCCTGCGCCTCTGTCTGGGCTGCATTGTGAAGTGCACTTGGGCAGAGCCGTTGCCAGCTTTAGCCTGTATTACTCTCCATGGAGCAATATCAGCGATAACTCTGCGAAAATAAAAATCAACAACAGCACAACAAAAGCCACCTGTATGTGTGTGTGTGTGTGTGTGTGTGTATGTGTGTGTAGCTGCTGCTGCTGTGGCCTTTTTGTTGATTTCAATAACTTGGCTGCGGGCGCCCTGGTTGCTTGTTGCTTGCTGTCACAGCTCACATATTACTCATACGCCGCATTGTCTAGCTTGGAAACTAGAAACAACAAACAAATGAGTATGAGAGAGAGAGAGAGAGGTGGGGCAGGGAATGTTAAAGCCAAAAGACGAAGTAGAAATGCTCTATGACAAGATTATTTTCAAGCTAAGCAAGCAGAGGAAAGCAAAGGGAGAGAGAAGAGAGAACAAATGTGAATAATATCAAGAGATCAAATGGTAAGAGTCATACAATATTTCGATAACTTCAAGAACAGCTTTACTGTTAGTTACCGACATATTGTATGACTCTTACCATTTGATCTCTTGAAAGTGTGGATATATTTTAGAAATCTTAAGAAGACTGACTTAGCTTTAACATGAGTCACATTTTGAGCTTGAGCTCTACTAGATCTTAGGCTAACATCCAGCTCGTGTTTATTGAGTCAGACCTCCAATAAGTAGCGTCAATTCTAGATGGATGAAGATATATATGTAAAATGCCATATGTTTAACTCCATTCAAAGATGAAAGCATTGCTGAAACCAATTTCAAATATAGTTAAAGCGACATACCGAACCCCCTATTCATAGTATCCAACATTTTCTAGTTTCACTATGGTAATATATACCATATCACATAACAGTATCTGAAATTCTTTACTCTATAAAAGATTTTGCTCTAGCTGCACAACTTTTGAGCTTTAAGTTTTTCCAGCTGAGTTTTCCAGATTGTGAATACCTGTTGGTTGCTCGCTTGCCTGGTTAGCGTATGCAAACACTGCTCAAAAGCATTAGGGTGAGAGAGAGGCGGAGTGCGAGAGAGGGGGTGTGGGTGGGTGGGTGTAAAAGAGACAGCTATGCTTGTTAGCTAAGCATCACGTTGAACAGAATTCGTTCATGTGTGTTTAGAAAATGGCGAAACAGCTCTTAAGTTACGTCTGCTTTCAAATCAACATCATCATCATCATGATGAGTATCAGCAAAAGCATTTTCATCAGCCGCAACATCATCTGGCAACGTTTTCATTAATGTTGCCGCATAAAAATCACGTTTCCTGCACCAACAACAACAACAACGAAGCAGAAGCACCAGAAGAAGAAGAAGCTGCACATGAACAATGAGACACACACACACACACACACACATTCATCTAACCATTTTGATTGTAGTTTGTCTAGCCTGCCAGCTAAATGCCTCTCACCCTTGCCACGCCCCGCACTGATTGTTAGCAACATTTGGTGGGCGGGAGCCAATCGAAGTCGTGTATGAAAATTCACGTTTGCCAATAATCAAGGGCAAATATTTAAAGAGCAACGAGAGTGTGTGTGCTCATGTGTGAATGTATATATATGTACACACATGTGTGTGTGTGTGTGTGTGTGCACAACATGTGAGCAAGATTTAATATGGAATGGAGCAAAAGACGATGTTAGTAAAAAACCGATTAATTGGAAGCTTAGAGAGGAAGTTAGAGTAGAACAAGAGAGAGTGAGAGAGAGGTAGATGTAGAGAAAGAGAGTTAGAGAGAAAAATAGGATGAAAGGAAGAGGGAGAGCTAAATATAAAGACTTGTGAATCTTGAATCAATATCTCGATCTATGAATCTTATATCGATATATGTGTGTTTTCTTCATAGTTCATTCTATATAAATTCTTATTTTTTCCATAGCATGTGTTTTTAAGAAGTTGAGGGTTGCTTATTCGTGTGTCACATCAATCGTCAAGTCCCGATAATTCGAAACAGCAAGGGGATCCGAATTTCTCGATTTACCAAGAAAATTCACATTATCGAGAACGATTTTTTTCAAGGGAATAGATTTTTTCGGTTTATCGCGATTTGTGATTGAGCGGGGTACAAATTATCGAGACTCGACTGTATTATAGTTGACATATATGGCGCATGCGATAGTTGCATTCGGCTCACGCGCGCATCTCTAATTGAAAAGCGCTTACAGTTCAAGATCAACCCCAAAACCAATATGCCATCTATTGACTGTGTATTGGCGTGTGTGTGTGTGTGTTTTGCATTTAAATTTTGTATTGTCTTGCATTTATGAGATTTGAATTGAGTTGAGTTATCAGCAGCAGCAACAGCAGCAGCAGCAGCAATAGCAGCAGCAGCAGCAACAGCAACAGCAACAGCCGCAGCAGCTGTCCGGGCAACGTGAGCTCAAACAAAGCCGTTGCTACTAGCCACAGCAGAGGCGGCGCTTGAGCAGGGGGATATAAAAACATATACATATATAGGTATATATGTATATAGAGAGGTGTGTGTGTGTGTGTGGCACTCACATCCATTCGATGAGCTGGCGCAGTTGAGGCTTAATTTATGAGTTTCAATTAAAAATTCCTTTCAATTTCAAAGTCCAGCAACAATAGAGTCCAGTGCTTAGTGTAAGCCGACACCCAAAGACCCCCCCACCACGCACACACACACACACACATATACGGCCACCCACAGTCGACCCCAGCTGCCAGTCTTGGCATCAATTTCCGCAACATGCAACATTGCCCAGCTCCCAGCTTCCTCTGCCCCAGCTCTGCTTGCAGCGGAAATTTATGTTTAACAATAATGCGCATATTTACGACTCGCTCTCGCCTTCTCTCTCTCTCTCTCTCTCCCCAACTCACTCTCTCTCTCCCTCTCTCTGTGTGCTGTTTATAATGTGCGCACATTAGGGACACGTTAATGTCATTTGCTGGCGTTGTTTGTGCGACCTGCTGTTGCACTTTTGTAATGTTCAGCTATTTGTCATCGTCTGTCGGACATTGTCTCCTCTCATAAATGAAAGATGAACAGCAGCTGAACCATGCTGAACTGAACTGAACTGAACTTGTACGGAACATGAACGGAACTCAACTAAACTGAACTGAACAACTGTGAATGAGGAAGCAATGGATTGAACAAGAATTCTGCATGACAGCAGCTGAACAATGTGAGAGAGACAGAGAGATGGATAGATATAGAGAGGCAGGAATATAATAAAGCATAATGAGAAAGAATGAGAGAAAGACAAATAAGTAGAGACAAATGGAGAAACAGAGAGTGTGTGAGAGAGAGACAGAGAGAGAGAGAGACTGAGAGAAAAAGCAAGCGCGAGAGAGAGAGACTGAGAGAGAAAGAGAGAAATGAAGATACGGAATATGATAGAGATTATGAAAAGAACAAGAAGGAAAGATGGAATGTTGGATTGAACGATGGAGAGATATATGTATAATATGAAAGAAAACTAGCTAGTATAACCCAGAGACATTAAATCAGAGAGAGAGAGAGAGAGAGAGAGAGAGACAGAGAGAGATAGAGAGATAGAGAGAGAGAAAGAGAGAGAGAGAGACATAGAGATCGATGGTGAGATTGAGAGAAAATGAGGGAGATGGAGAGACTAAAAAGAAAGCGAGAGGCATACGGAGAGACCGAGAGAAAGCGAATAGGCAAAGAGGACAGGAGGGAGATATATAGAGAGAAAAAGGAAAGAAGCAGAGATAGAGACAAAAACAGGGAAACAGCAAGCATTCAACAGAGTCTTGAATCGAAAGCTTTAGCTAAAAAAGTTATCTTTGAATATTTGATACATTCGATAATATTCGATGATAACATTTTCAAATTGCGGAAGCTTCCTCAGTCAAGAACTAGTTCCAATGCAGTTAGACAACTTTGATGATGGCTCAAATTTCTATTTGATTAAGAAGCTCAATTGTGAACTAGCTATACAGTTCATGTGAGCTACTAGTTCGACTTTGATTGTTGTTCACCCACAGGTGGAAACATGTGACAGGTGGAAGAGGTTTTTCTGTTCAGCTTGATTGCTGCATTTTTTTTTTTTTTTTTGTGTTGCCGGCAGGCGATAAAGGAAACCCTTGAAGCGCTCAATGGGCTGAGAGCTCAACACGCACATTTCGACCACAGGCCACGCCCAGTGGGCGGTTACCACATGACGCATGCACAAATTTTAATTAAACGCCAACAAATTGGAATTGAAACGCAAATCAAATTAGTCGCAACCACAAAAGCAAAAGCAACAGCAACAACAACAGCAACAGCAAAAACAAAAACGAAGCAAGAAAAAGGCACAAAATGTTAACTCATTCGCTTTTTGCATTTGCCTTTTACAGCTGCCATTTAACGAAGCCCAACAAGCGCCGCAGCAACAGCTACAGCAACAGCAGCAGCAACAGCAATCGACTGCAGCAGCAGCAGCAGCTGTGCCACCGCCGCCGCCGCCGCTTGCCTCCTTGGCAACGCTGCCCAGTCAGGCGACAACTGCAGCGGCAACTATTTTGGGCGGCAGCAGCAGCAACAATAACAACAACAGCGGCAGCAACAACACTTGCCAGCAACAGCAACAGCAGCAGCAACAGCAGCAATTGCATGCGCACAACAACAATACATTGCCAGCAGCACCGCAGCAACAGCAACGCGGCACTCTGCAACATCCGCCGCTGCCCAACAGCAACATCAAGCAAGCCTCTGTCAAACTGATCGAGGGCTACTCCGATCCGAAGGACACGCGCCACCACGGCCAGCACAAGAAGGTCTATCACAAGAAGGCCAAGCGTCGCTCGGCGCCGTTGCACAAGCAGCGCCAGCATCAGCAGCAGCAGCAGCTGCAAACGTTGCCAACACCGCGCGGACATCAGCAGCAGTTGCAGCAACAGCAGCAGCAACAACAACAGCAGCAGTTGCTGCATCGCCATTCTACGTACAACAACAACAACGGCAATCACAAGAAGGACAAACGCAACAGCCACTACAATTCAGGTGAGCAGCAATGTAAACAATAGCAGCAGCAGCAGCGGAAAGAGCAGCAGCAGCAAGAGCAGCAGCAATAACAGCTAATATTGTAATCAGCAACATTTAGCTAGCAGAAATTATAGATAGCATATTTTCAGCTGGCAGCAACAAGCACAAGAGCAGCAGAGAAACAGCTAGCAACAATTGCTAGAAGAACATCCACAAGTTGGCATTCACTAGTAACAGTTGTAGATGAAGATCGGTAGCATTAGCTAGCAATACTTTCACACATTAGCAACAATTGCTAGCAGCATTTCAGCTAGCCACAGCCAACAGCAAGAGTGATCAACACAGCTAGAAAAATTCGCTGGCAGCAAGAGCTAGCAACATTAGCTACATGAGTCCAAGCTCAGTAACATTAGCTAGCAACAAACAGAGCTAGCAACATTGGCTACATGAGACCAAGCTCAGTAACACCAGCTAGCAACAGACAGAGCTAGCAACATTTGCTGTTAGTAACTACATCAGTTAGCAGCAACATAACCAAGATCAGCAACATCAGCTAGCAGCATAAGCAGCTTAGCAACATTTCAGCAGCAAAAGTCAGTAATATTCGCAGGCAGCAAGAGCTAGCAACATTAGCTGCATGAGTCCAAGATCAGTAACATTAGCTAGCAACAGACAGAGCTGGCAACATTGGCTACATGAGTCCAAGCTCAGTAGCATCAGCTAGCAACAGACAGAGCTAGCAACATTTGCTGTTAACAACTACATCAGCTAGCAACATAACAAGATCAGCAACATCAGCTAGCAGCAGAAGCAGCTTAGCAACATTTTAGCAGCAAAAGTGAGCAATACTCGCTGGCAGCAAGAGCTAGCAACATTAGCTACATGAGTCTAAGATCAGTAGCATTAGCTAGCAACAGCTGTCTACATGTGCTGTTAATAACTACATTAGATAACAGCAACATAGCCAAAATCAGCAACATCAGCTAGCAGCAGAAGCAGCTTAGCAACATTTCAGCGAGCAGCAACAACTGTTAGCAGCATAGTTCAAGTTTATGTTATTATCAAGTTATAAATGACTTTATAAAGCTATATATATTATTATGCAAGAGTTTTACAGGCCACTGATTGTTATTATATGCATCAGTTTTATATATTAAAGCGAATCTGCAACATTTAGTTGCAAATGGTAGCAGCCAGTAAAGTGTTGCTAGCGACGCAGGCGATAATTAAAAGCGTTGCATACTTTTGGGCGGCAGTGAAAAATGCGAAAAACTTAACAGTCGACAGCTAGTTTGGGAGAAGTATAGCTGTAGCTACATCAGCTGTATTTGTACACAGTCAGAGGCGTGGCTTTGTGGGCGTGGCAATTAGATGCATTTGGCAGACAGCGCGAACTGCGGTTGCGGCTGCGGCTGCTGAGATCAGCCAGGCGTTAAATGGCAACTGGCAGCCATTCGACTGCGACGCAAGGAGCAGGAGTGAAAGAACTAGCGAGAGAGACAGAGAGAGTGAGAGCGGGAGAGAGAGAAAGAGGGGAGAGAGAATAAGGTATAGAGCAAGTAACGCATTGTCGAGCAGCCAAGCGCCTAATAGACTGCGACAGAGAGACGCGCCAAAAATGGGCAAAGGTTGAGGGGCGGAGTGCAAAGGGATCCACTCACTGACTGCCCTTTGTGGCTCATTCTCATTTGCCTGGCGACTCAATTAACTGGGCGAGGATAGTTACAACAGCGAATGGATTGCGGGCTGGCTGCACTTGCCTCTAATTTCTCGTAATTATAAACAAAAATCTCAACTCTGACAAGCAGCTAAATTGTTCTTGACAGTTTGGACATTGTCTCTGTTGGCACTTAACAAGAGACTACAACAAAGCGGACTGCCTCAGCCGACTTGACTGACTTTAAGACGTTAAGAAAGTTGGAAAAAGTCTATGAAAATGTTGAATGGAGCTGAAGGATTAATTGATATTTGATGGTTGAGCTGATGCAAATGAAGTCCAGTTCGAGCATTGTGGAACTGTTTAGACTTAACTCAGTCCCGAAGAGTTTGAAGGGTTGAAGCTAAGTGAAGAAGAAGAATTAGCTTAGGTACAAAGGTCTGGGCTAGGGTGAATTAGGCTAGAGAGCAATTAGTATAGAGTTGGATTGGGGGTAAGTCAGTGATGGAAGTAAGATTAGAGTTAGGGTTAGGTTAGGTAGGACATGAGTAAGGCTAGTTGAGTATTGAAAATGAGTTAGATAGGAGCTCGATCCAAACTAGCTGGAGTCATAATGGAATCATTTGATTAAGATTGTGGCTAGCTCAACGTAAGGCTAGGTTAACTCAGATATGGATTGCTTTGGGGTTGGATCAGGGGTTTAGCGCTGCATTAGGCCTGCTGAAAGTTTGTATACGGTGTAAGCTACATCTGAGCTGGGTTAGAGTTAGGCTAGAATCTCGTATGATCTATGCCTGGGGTAGCTTTAACTAAGGTCTGGCCTAGCTCTGTGTTAACGTTATTATGCATATAAGGCTAGGGAGTTTTCATGATTTACTGTAATCTAAACTTATGTTTTGCAGATTCCTCGGCACCCAAGTCCTCTGACGAGGAGGCGGACATAGACGAGGAGGTAGAGCGTGCCGCACCACCAACAGCAGCAGCAGCTGGAACCGGAACCGGAGCTGGAGCCGCAGCGGGAGATTTGCTCAATTCACCGGACAGCATATCGGATGATCTAGTCCGTCCGTTGCCCGCTCAACTGCAGCGCAGTCCACGCAAATTGACGGTCGCCCAGGCGGAGCACAGCAAGCGACAGCCGTCGCCGTACTACTACTCGGACTTGCTCAAGACTCGCGACAAGGAGGAGGAGGGAAGGAAGCCGACGCTCGAGCGCGACCGCGAGGCGAAGCAAAAGTGCCGCCAGTCCACGGCCAGCGAGCCGCCGCAGCAGACCCTCACGCAGCCCCATCGACTGGGCGGCTATCGCAAGAGCAGCAGCCTCGATGCTCCACAGTCTCAGCAACAACAACAACAGCAACAACAACAGCAGCAGCAGCAGCAGCAGCAGCAGCAGGAGGAGCAATTGCTGCAGAAGGGAGACGACGCAGAACTAGACAACGATCCAGTCGAGCTCGAGGAGGCGACCTGCCTGACCGAGCAGTCGACGCCGAAGCGCTACAGCTTCACGGAGGAGGGCGTACGCATCATACGCTGTGAGACGCCCAGCACCAGCACCTCGGAGGAGTCCGACTGCAGCGAGTGCCTGAAGCGACGCGAGTGGCACGCGCGCGCCTTGGCGCTGGTGCGCAAGACGTGCAACGTCCAGCCGCGGCAACAGTTGCCCATTGGCAGCGGCGAGTTGCAGTTGCAGCTGCAACATTGCGACGCCGGCGAGGGGGAGCTGCTCAAGTGCTGTCCACCAGCAACTGGAGGAGGTGGAGTAGTGGGCGTGGGAGTGGGAGATTTAGCGTGCGAGTCGATGCCGCCGCACCGCCTGCTGGGCCCAGCAGCCGTGTGCGGAGCCTGCATACCGACGCCCAACAAGACGATTGGACTGGGCCACGGCGATGAGGACCAGCTGGATGAGCTGGAGGAGTACTTTAGGCCACGCAGCATATTCTACGTGCATCCGCATGGCGTGCACGAATGCGTCGAATGTGCGCCGCCAATTAAGCTAGAGGAGCAGCAGCAGCAGCAAACAGCAGGGGCTAAAGAGCAGGAGGAGCAGCAGCAGCAGCAGCAGCAGCAGGAGGAGGAAGAGGAGCAGGAGCAGGAGGAGGAAGGTGAGGAATACGATTCCGACAACATGGCCAGTCGACGCCGACAAATCTATGAGACGGCCTTCGATTGCAAGATAGCCAAGTCAGACGATGATCTCGATGAGGTGGATCGCATCACCAATCACTCGGTCTTGCTGCAGCTCAACAGCAGCAGCAACAGCAATGGCAACGAGCTATCCGTGCCGTCCAAGTCGCTAAGCAAAAGCCGTCTCGAATGCAAACGCGCCAAGAATAGCAAAAATCAGGCGCTGCAGCAGCAGCAGCCACAACAGCAGCAGCAACAACAGCAGCAGCAGCTGCAGCAGCAACAGCAGCAACAACAACAGCAGCAGGAGTCGCCTGATGGACAGTGTCAGGTGGTGCTGCAGGTGCAGGCAGAGCTCAGCCAGCTGCAGCTAAGCCAAACAGCAGATCAGCAGAATCAGAATCAGCAACAGCAACAGCAACAACAACAACAGCAGCAACAACAGCAGCAGCAGCAGCTGCCCACGCGTGGCTACACGCCCTCGCCGCCTTCGACGGCGCCGCTGCCCATCAAGTTTCCGGGCAAGCACGAGCGCTACATGAATAGCATAAAGAGCGCACCGAATCTGCCAGCGACGCAGCCGGCGCATCCGCGACTGCGCGACTTGCGGTTGCCCTTGCAGGCATCGCTGCGCCAGCACCAGCAGCACCAGCAGCAGCAGCAGCAACAGTTGCAGCTGTGCGCGAGCAGCAACGACAACAGTCTCACCGACAGCGCCTACGTGAATCCGCCCTCAACAAACTCGAACTCGAACTCGAACTCGGCTGTTGCCTCCACCTCGGCTTCGTCGCGTCGGCCGCGCAGCTTTGTGCTGGAGTCGGGCCGCGTGCTGGAGCTGCGCCGCAGCGCCCATCACCATCATCATCAGCAGCAGCAGCAGCAACAGCAGCAGCAGCACGCGCAGCAGCAACATGGCAAGCAGCAGCAGCAGCAGCACTTGCCCAAACCCAGGCACAACTACAGCTCCACCGAGAGCATTGCCACCTCCTCGAGCGGCGGCAGCATGGAGTCGTTGCGCAGCAGCACCAGCGAGGGCAACCGCAGCACCTCCAGCTCCGAGTCGCGGCACTCCAGCTCGCTCAGCTCGCACAGCTCCGAGAGCAGCAACAGCAACAGCAATAGCAACAGCGCCAGCGCCAGTGCCAGTGCCAGCGCCAGCGCCAGCGCCAGCTCGAGTGTCGCCTATCCGCTGCGCGCTCCGGTGCTGCTGCACTCCAAGCTGCACATACTCAGCCCCATATCGGACAAGTCCTCGCAGGAGCCGGCCTCCGAGCAGTCGCAGCAGCCGGCGACAGCAGCCGCTGGCGCAGCCAGCCTGCAGCAGGAGGAGGCCTCGGCCGAGGCTGCGGCCGCTGCAGCTGCTGCTGCTGGCAGCTCGTCCGTGCCTGTCCAGCTGCTGGTGAAGCAGCAGCGCAGTGGCAGCCAGCGTGCAGCGGCGGCGGCTGCGGCTGCGGCGCCCAACAAGGCGCTGCTGCACCTGGCCGACGAGCTGCTCGGCTCGGACAGCGGCATCTCCTTGCACTCGCGCGAGGATGGCAAACCAACGACTCTGGCGCTGCAGCGCCTGACGCTGCCCAAGCTGCAGCTGGGCAATGGCAGCGCCGCAGATACGTCCTCGTCGGCGGCAGCGGGCATCTCCTCGGCAGCCACAGCGGCTGGCGGCGGTGGCGGTGCAGCTGGTTCCTCGGCGCTGCCGCAGGAGCTGCGCGACTTGCCCTTCGACATGCCCAAGCTGCGGCGCCGCAAGACGCTGCAGCAGGAGGCCGCCTGCACCTCGGGCAGTGCCACCTCCGTTGACCTGGGCGATCTGCCCTTCGACATGCCCAAGCTGCGCAGGCGACTGCGCGCCAATCAGGCGGAGATCAATAATCTGCTGATGCACAGCACCGAATCCAGCGGTATCTCGCAGGCATCCTCCAGCCACTCGATGCGCGACGAGCAGAAGCTGGCCAGCAAGCTGGGTGAGTTGACATAACAGAGAATCTCTACTTGAACTACATTTAATTACTTTCAATTACTCTAGCAATTGCTTAAGAGTAATTGTCAGGGGTTTCTGATGAATAACTTAATTACTTTTGACTCCTTATTAATTAAACTTAAGTTACAACTAAAATAAACTTAAATCTTTTACCTATTTTAAGTAATTAAAGTTATTCGCGAGTAATTAGAGCGATTTACGAGTAATTAAAGTGACTTTTCAGGGTAATTTAGCTTTACAAAAAATTGAATTTGATTTGACTTCATATTCTCAACTCCCTCTATCTCTCTCTTTCTATTTCTCTGTGCAGACACAGCGCTGTTTCGTCAGAATCTGACGTTGAATCTGAATGAGCCGCGCCAGGTGAACAAACAGTTTGGCAGTCTCGATCTGCGTGGATTGAGCAGTCACAAGGAGCTGAACATGAATCTGGGCCAGGGCTACGTAACGGCTGTCGATCTAATAGATGTGACCATACCACTAGAGCGTCAAGGGTATCTGTCTCCTTCTCTCTCTCTCTCGCTCTCTCTCTCCCTCTATTACTCCAGTGCTAACACTCTCTGTCTTTCTAGCTGGTACCATGGCGCTATCACACGTATCGAGGCAGAGACAACGTTGCGTCCCTTGGCCGAGGGCTCGTTTCTGGTGCGCAATTGTGAGTCCACCAAGCAGGACTATTCCCTGTCGCTCAAGTAGGTCAACTAGTCTGTGAAAAGTGTGAACTATCTCTATATGTCTCTCTCCTTCTCTCTTATTCCCTTTTACAGAGGCGCCAAGGGCTTCATGCACATGCGAATACAGCGCAACGAGGCGGGGCAATATATCCTGGGCCAGTTCAGTCGACCCTTCGAAACGGTGCCCGATATGATACGACATTTCTGTCTGAATCGCTTGCCCGTCCGTGGAGCAGAGCACATGTGTCTGATTGAGCCGGTTATAGCGCAGCTGCTGTAAACTAACAGAGCTGTTAACGCCAAAATGTTAACTTGAGAGATGTCAAAGCCGCGTACGGGCAGAGAAAGCAACATACATATTGATATATAGCACATAGAGACAACTCTATAATATACTCTTTATACATACATATAGCGTATATATCGATCGATGTCATATGCTCTAGTCTTAATTACAAATTGTTTCTACTCATCTCACTCTGTTATGCTCTCTATAAAACTTCGTTTTGGATCCATTAGCACACAGAGCAGCAAACCCCAATTATGTTAGAGCAGAGTATTAGCGAGACACACGAACTATGTAGCTTAGTATTAAACAACATGAGAAGAGGAAGTAGAATGAGAATGAGAAAGAAAGAAAGAAAACAAGTACGTAGCACTTTCAGACAATACGAGAACAGAGCAGATCGCATAAACCAAATAAAATATTTATACACAATATACACGATATATATATATATATATATATATATATATATATATATATATATATATATATATATATATATATATATATATATATATATATATGTATATCTAACTAGATCTAGAAACAAAAGAGCACTTGACAGTTGCTAGACGTAGTACAGACACTCACACACATATATACGATATATATATAAGTTAACACAATCGACCAGCAAAACATAAATGTTCAGATTGATCACGCGCCGTCAGCATGAATGTAGCCGTTCCCAGCGGATATTGCACAACAGCAGCAGTGGCTCCAACGCGCAACAATGTTGTTGCCCGAAGTAATGCGATGCCTCGCGTAAATATGCAATGTCAGCATAATCAGGGTTTAGGGCTAGCTTTGGATATAAGAATTTATGTCACTGTACTTTAGTTGATTTTTGATAATAAAGAACGTCGGTCGTCGCCACGGGATTATTGAAGTCTACTCATTTTGTGCAACACCGCACACTAACATCTAACAACTACAGCAAAAAAGCTTAATTGGCGCCCAACCGAAACGAACCCAAAAAACAAAAAAAAAAAAAAACGAAATTAAAACTTCGATTAAAACAAGCATTCAGTGAGATAAATACCCCACAAGTGCAAAAAAAAACAGCAAGACAACTAAAACGCATAACCAAAACGAAAAAAGAAAAAAAGAAAGCAGCATTAGACGAAGCAGTACGCAGCGAAGACACCCACCACGAAGCGGCTCATCAGCGAAGAAACACACAACATACAGTCTACTAACATAATATAAGAACATGTGAGTAGAGTGTTCATTGCAAAAAAAGAAATTAAGGAGTAAAAACAAATAAAAATACAATTTCAACCTTTAAATATTAATTATTAATAACAAAAAACGCAGCACGCAAAATTCCCTGTCTTTACTTGCCCTATGAGTGATAGTGAAATACAAGATTTAATAACAAATTTTCGAAAAATTTACAACACAGAAAATTTAAAAATGGCTTTGAATTCAGATCAATTAAAAGCTATAGTAGAAGGCGCAGTCGCAAGCGCTTTAGCTGCTCAAAAAGATAGCTTTGATAGAAAATTAAACGAAATTGAACAACGTATAAATTCAGTACAGGTTAGCGCACCCGAGGTAGAAACTTTCAAGGAGGCAGAAATCAAAATAGGTGTTATTTGCAACGAAACCCTTGACATCATGAAGTCCCTCCCGGACTTTGAAGGAAAAAAGCGAAACTTATGTATCTTGGAGAAAGGCTGCGCATATCGCATACAAGGTATATGAGAAATACGATGGTAGCTCAAAGCATTATCAAGCTTTGGGAATATTAAGAAACAAAATTAAGAACGCTGCTGATATGGTACTCTCTTCTTTCGACACTCCTCTAAATTTTAAGGCCATTATAAATCGGTTAGATTTCACGTACTCCGACAAACGACCGATATACTTAATTGAACAGGAGATGTCAACACTCCGCCAAGGAAATTTGACACTACTGCAGTACTACGACGAGGTAGAAAAGAAACTGACTTTACTTATAAATAAGACAATCATGACCTACGACACCACCGTTGCCTCTTCGCTAAATGAGAAATATAGAGCAGACGCCCTGCGAGTATTCATCTCAGGAACCAGGAAGGCCTTAAGTGATGTCCTATTCTCAGCTAGACCAATTGATCTTCCCTCTGCATTGGCATTGGCTCAAGAAGTTGAGTCAAATCATGAACGTTATATGTTCGCCACAAATTTCGCCCGCAGTATAGAAGAAAAAGCGCAGAAGATCGAACAAAGACAGCAAGTCAGAGACAAGACTCTAGCTCAAGACCCAAAACACAACCAACCAGGAAAAAGCCCACACTACAAAAGACCAGAATTCTCACCACGACAAGAACAGGTAGAACCAATGGACGTTGACTCATCTTCTCGCTTCAGACAGGCTACGCAACACCAACAAAACGCGACCTTCTCGAAACAGACTCAGTGGCCAAATCAACAACGACGCACTCAATACGAAAACTACAATAACCAGGGACAGGCAAACAAACGACCAAACAGCGGTAGCGCACGGTTCACAGGACCGAAACAGCAAAGAGTTAACCACCTAGGAACAGAAGATACAGAATACGAGCAGGACAATAGCGAATACCAAGCGATCGCAGAAACCGAGACAGAAGACGTTGACAATGAATTGGACGAATACGACCAGGTCAATTTTTTAGGAATAAATCCCTGCTCCCGTTCATAGAGAGAACGATAGCAGGGAAAACCATAAAGTTGCTAATAGATACCGGAGCCTCAAAGAATTACGTGAGACCATTAAAAGAACTAAAAAATATTACGCCGGTAGAAAAACCCTTTCGATTAAAATCAATCCATGGCCACAACGTAGTTGACAAGAAATGCATAATGCACCTTTTTAATACCAAGACAACATTTTTCTTATTACCAAACCTCACGACATTCGATGGTATAATCGGACTTGACCTACTAAACCAAACCAACGTTTTATTAGACTTCAAAAAATAAGAAACTAACAACAAACTATGGTTCTGAGACCATTAACTTTCTAAAATGCCCAGCCGTAAATTTCACAAGTGTCAAAGAAATAGAAGCCCCTCAGGCTATAACAACGGAATTTCAAACAATGCTCAAAGCCCGAGCAGGAGTATTTGCGGAACCAAATGAAGCGCTTCCGTATAATACAAATGTCATTGCAACTATTAGAACAGAGGACGAGAATCCCATTTATTCAAAATTATATCCATACCCAATGGGCGTATCAGAATTCGTAAACACAGAAACTCAAGATCTGTTAGAAAACGGTATAATACGTCCGTCCCAGTCACCATACAATAACCCCGTGTGGGTTGTAGATAAAAAAAGGTACCGACGAGCAGGGAAGAAAAAAGAAACGTTTAGTTATAGACTTCAGAAAACTAAACAAAAAGACAATAGATGACAAATACCCCATTCCCAATATAGCCTCCATTTTATCCAACTTAGGCACAGCAAAGTACTTTTTACAACACTAGATTTAAAATCCGGATTCCACCAGATTTTACTTGCCGAAAAAGATAGAGAAAAACAGCCTTTTCTGTAGGAAGCGGAAAGTATGAGTTCTGCAGGCTCCCTTTTGGCTTGTAAAATGCACCTAGTATTTTTCAGAGAGCCATTGACGATGTGCTCAGAGAGCAAATTGGAAAATCTTGTTATGTTTACGTAGACGACGTAATCATTTTTTCTGAAAATATGGAAAGCCATGTCAAGCATATCGCCTGGGTCCTAGATAAACTATACGAGGCCAACATGAGAGTTTCACCAGAAAAGTCGCACTTTTTCAAAGAAAGTGTAGAATACCTAGGTTTCGTAGTCTCAAGTAATGGTATAAAGACATGTCCAAGTAAAGTTGAAGCGATTCGTAACTATGAAGTACCAACAACTTTGTTTAACGTCAGATCATTCCTTGGGTTGGCAAGCTACTATAGGTGTTTCATCAAGGACTTCGCGTCTATAGCAAAACCTATAAGCGACATCTTAAAAGGCCAAAATGGCAAAGTGAGCGCCGGACAATCCAAAAAAATTCCAGTAAAATTTGACGAGAGTCAACATGCGGCATTCGAGAAGCTAAAAGAGGTTCTTGCATCCGAAAATGTAATGTTGCTCTACCCTGACTACAAGAAGCCGTTTGATTTAACAACGGACGCTTCATCCTCTGGTCTTGGGGCAGTTCTGTCACAAGGTGGAAAACCAATCAACTGTTTCCAAAACCAAATTATAATAGAAGAAAATAATATAGCCTCTGATCGTACAGTTATCCTATTTGGTAAGAAAATCCGACATACAATTCATTTCTCAAACAGAGACTCGTTAATCAAAAGAGTTTGCGATGTAGTCAAAAAAGATGTCGTAAATGCAATCCATTGCGAGTTACCAATATTAGCATTCATACAACATAAACTAATAGAAACTTTTCCAACAACAACATTTCGATATACAAAGTACATAGTAAATGACATTTTTGATAAAAACGAACAGAAAGAAATAATTGCAACAGAACACAATCGGGCTCACAGAGCAGCCCAAGAAAATGTGAAGCAGATTTTACAAGACTATTTTTTTCCGAAAATGACAAAATTAACGAACGAAGTTGTTTCAAATTGTAAAATTTGTAAAACAGCTAAGTACAATCGTCACCCACAAAAACAAATACTTGGAGAAACACCCATACCTTCCTATGTGGGCGAAATACTACACATAGACATATACTCAACCAATAAAAAATACTTCCTTACGTGCATAGATAAATTTTCAAAATTTGCAATTGTTCAACCCATCGCTTCAAGGACAATAATTGACATACAATCAGCAATTTTACAACTTGTAAATTTTTACCGGCATACCAAGACGATCTATTGCGATAACGAGCCCTCCATAAAGTCCGAAACAATAAAATCTCTGCTAAACAATCAATATAACATTCAAATCGTAAATGCCCCACCACTCCATAGTACATCAAACGGACAAGTCGAGAGATTCCATAGCACCCTCGGTGACATTGCAAGATGCCTAACAGCTCAAAGGAAAATTACTGACACTGTTGAAACGATACTTCAAGCAACTATCGAATATAACAATACAATTCACTCAGTAACGGACAAACGACCAATCGATATAATCCACTCATCCTCCCCAGAACTCGAAATAGAGATAGGAAATAAAATTCAAAAGGCACAACAACTCCTAACAAATAGAGTAAACGAAACAAGACACAATAGACAATTCCAAATAGGCGACACAGTTTTGGAAAAAACAAACAGACGCTTAGGGAACAAACTGACACCACTATACAACGAAGGCAAAATTGACGCAGACTTGGGGACAACAGTCTTAATAAAAGGGAGGGTGGTCCACAAGGACAATCTAAGATAGGCAAAACATTAAATTCCCTTTTTTATCTTTTTAGGATTTGGACTATACTTCTTTTGCTACAACGATAACAGCGAAATTGACTGACTATACTAACATGGACTACATACCGATCTTGGACGGATACGTAACCATTTGGACGGATTTCCAATACTTGAAGCACTCAACCAACCTTACCCTATACTCAGAAATAGTAAAAAATACGAAAGAATTAGCAAACCATTTCCCCCGATCACATATGAGAATGTTATTAGACGCAGACATACAACATATAGAAACATTAATAGCTACAGTAAATGTCCACCATAGACATGCTAGGAGTATCAATATGCTAGGCACCGTTCTAAAGGTCGTAGCTGGCACGCCAGACCATGATGATTTCGAGAAACTAAAATTTACACAGAATGAACTTGTAGAGTCAGAAAATAGGCAGATAACCATAAACACAAAAATGCAGGAACAAATTAATAAGCTAACTGACACCGTAAACCTCCTAGTAAAAAACACAAAAGTAAAAACAAGTAGACACAGAGCATTTATATGAAACGCTGCTAACAAGAAATAGAATAATTATCTCAGAGTTAAAAACCTTAATACTATCAGTAACACTTGCAAAGGTTGGAATTGTAAACCCCTCCATTTTGGATTCCACTGATTTAAAAAACATTGTTAATGAACACTCTATAAATATCACTATTACTGACTTAATGGAAGTATCTCAAATTAAAGTTTTGTTAAGCGAAAATTTTCTACATTTCATTATAAGATATCCTAAGCCTAGCATAGTATGTAAAAAATTAACCGTATACCCTGTCCAACACAACGGCATCATAATAAATTTCGCCGAAGACTACAATTTAGCTGACTGTGGAAATCATGTAATATCAATAGGAAATTGTAGTACAGCCCTCACAATAACGTTCTGCAAGAAGTCACCCTACACAACATGCGCTCAACAGCTACACTCAGGTGACACCGCACATTGTTCAACTCGGCCCAGCCACCTCGAACCTCTAACCATAGTCGACGATGGAGTAATCATCATCAACGACGGAGCAGCTACAGTCAACGAGCAGATGGTAAAAGGGACGTTCCTCCTTACCTTTGACGACAAGATAAAGGTAAACAACACCGTATACCAAAACCAAAAAAAACTACGTGAGGAAATCCCCGGGACCAGCGGTATCTGCGCTCTTAAATATAACAGACCACCAAGAGATACCAAGCCTGCCATACCTGCAGAAGATAAGCATAAAAAATCTGCGGGATATTGCTCAACTAGAGGAAGGGCTAGTAAGAAGGCCAATAGTATCTGGGCTAACCGTGGCCATCCTTTTACTCTCCTGCTACGCTTCGATGAAACTCTATCAAAGACATCAGAGGAACAAACGTCAACGTGATCTTCAAACATTAATTAACAGTTTCAAGAAAGCCGAGGACGTCATTCATCTAAGTGGGGGAGGAGTTAACACAATCGACCAGCAAAACATAAATGTTCAGATTGATCACGCGCCGTCAGCATGAATGTAGCCGTTCCCAGCGGATATTGCACAACAGCAGCAGTGGCTCCAACGCGCAACAATGTTGTTGCCCGAAGTAATGCGATGCCTCGCGTAAATATGCAATGTCAGCATAATCAGGGTTTAGGGCTAGCTTTGGATATAAGAATTTATGTCACTGTACTTTAGTTGATTTTTGATAATAAAGAACGTCGGTCGTCGCCACGGGATTATTGAAGTCTACTCATTTTGTGCAACACCGCACACTAACATCTAACAACTACAGCAAAAAAGCTTAATTTATACATATATATATATTTCTATTTTTGGTTTTTTTTTTTTTTTTTGGTGTATTCGTAAACCACGATAACAATTTGATATCTATTCGTAAATAGCGATTATCACGCGTATATTAAATACTTGCAAAGTCTAAGAATACTATGTAGATTACACTAATACAACAAACCAAGACACACATACACACTCAGTGATCTTGACTCACAACTCACATTTAAAGCCTCGTTCACACGGCACGTTTACACGATGTTCGCTTTTTTTGCGCTTTGTTCGTTGTCGACTCGAAATGAAGGAAGAAGCTAACAATTTGTTAATTAATTTTATGTTCGAAACTAATATATATATATATACATGAGTATATCGATTAATGTTATCGATAGTTAGATTTATCGTAACTTATCTAGAAGGCGTAATAACTTCATATATACATCTATTTTTTTTTCTAGTTTTAGGCCAGGCATGCAAACGTAGAGCGCTCAAAGCGTTTTCGATTATTGAATATGAGTAGAATGAAGTCTATCGACTAGGGCGTTATCGTTATCGTTATCGATATCAATATCGTATGGCAAGGATATAGCAACGCATATGAAAAACTTACGGTTTTAAGTGTTAGTTTCTAATAACTCTCTCTCACTTTCAGTCTCACTCTCTATATGTAGAGTCAAGCACGGGCTAATTAAGCATTATATATAGATCTATATATACTACATATATATATATGATAATATATATCTAACACAATATTACGAGCAGTCAATGGTTTTTTGGTTCCAGAGCAAATGAAAACGAAGAAGAGAAAAGAGAACACAAATGAAAGAGTTGGATAGTTTCAGATCTGACAGCATTATCTATCTATATGTGCAATAAATGAGTTTAGTTTCGAATGCAAATTATGTTTTTTATGTGTGCCAAAAAGTATTTAAGTATTATCATTATTATTATCATTCTCATTGTCATTATGATTGTCATTATTCGATATATTTTTATAACTAGAGATTTTTGTTATTTGTTGTCTAATTTGTAAGTCTGTCAACGCTGTGCAATACGCAGACCATTTTACCCTACCTTACTCTCTATGCGTTTTACCACACTGCTTTTACGTTATGCAACACTGTCTCCAGTTAGAAATGAGAGCCACATCGAGTATATATATTATATACATCTATTGAGTTAAGCTTGATCCAGCTGCGAAGTTGTAAATATATTTATCTATATCTAACACACACAAACACACACATACATACACATATATATACACATATATACAAGCTATACGAAAACCAAGAGTATTTGATTTGATTTGCAATACAATTTTAAGCATAAGACTTCCATATCCATGCATCAAATTCAACTCAAAATAAAAAAGCAAAAAAACTTAAGTATAGCAAATATTATATTATGTTGAGGCTTCCAGCAGGAGTAGGCAGTAAAATAGAGGATACAGCATTAGAGAGAGTGAGAGAAAAGAAGAAGAGAAAAAGAGAAGGAAAGTGAGAGCGCGTCTCTATAGACGACTCTAAAAATAACAGATGACGGATCTCTTTCTCTCTTACTCATACTCTATCTCTCTCCCTCCCTCTCTTTTTCTCCCTATCTAACTCTGTGACTCTCTCTTACTGTCCTGCACATGTGTCAAACTATAAAACCGAACACCAAAAACAACACAATTATAAATGATAAACAACAACAGGAAATATTAATGAGAGATGAAAACAATGAACAGCAACAAATGCAAAAATACAAATTTAATAAACATCAACCGAAAACAAAAACAAAACGAAATGTATTTAATAAATAAATAAAGAAAAAAACAACAAAAATAATAAAAAAAAAAAAACTTGAAAAAAATTAAACAAATATGCATTATAATTTATGGTAAGGAAGAGAGTTACTCTACTCTGATACAGACAGCTCACACATCTCGGGTTAATGACCTATGGTCTATGTCAATAAACGTGATAAGAGATCCATCCATGAGATAACCTTGACAGCATCTGATACGTCAACCTTGACAAGCAACTGGGCTAAGGATGTCCGACATGTATAATCGATGATCCCCCGATGCATACCCAATAAGTTTCGAATGACTTTTCCCAAGACTTGGCTAGGTCTTATATTTGTATATATAATCCAGCCTAATCATCTTTCCAGTAAGACCCAATCCAATAAAGTACAGAATAAATTCGGTTTGCATAAACGTTTTATTAAATCGTTTTGATAGCGCATATCGTAAGTACGTATGTGTGTGTTTTAGCATAGTATGTTATGGTATATGCCTACAGACAGGTAGGTGTATATTTGTGTATAAGTACGTAAGGTTATATTCAATAAATTATATAGACTTGGTGAAACTTGCACTTGAAACTTGCACGAAGAATTATTTACAACAGACCTCAAGAACCTATTTGTATTTCTTGCTCTTTACACATTAGATAAGTACATGCCTTTCCTTTCTCTTCTTTTCATTAATAAAAAAATACTAATTCGTTGATTGTATAGGCATGGAGCCCCCACCCAACTCCATGCCCTATACTCGACATTATTATATATATTTATATATATATATCATATATTGGCCCATCTTGGCTATACAAAAACAAAAAAAAAAATTGATAATTTTGAAGACTTGCAGGAATTTGGATTTCCTGTGCTTAGTGCTTGGGACATTTAAAATAATAATTTGGTGTGCTCTGCTTGGGTGTGGCCTAGACGGCCGCCTCAATACCCTCAGCGTTCTTCTTGATCAAACTCTCCCATTGCGCGATCAGGCGATGCGACGAGGGCGCCTCCTCCGGCGTAAGATCACAGAGCTGGGCCAGCGACATGGCCGGACGCATGCCCGAATTGGAACCGGATGTGCTCAGAACATGGCTACTGCCGCCACCATTCGATAGAGCTGTGGCGGCGTTAAGGCTGCGATTGCCCGCCGACTTGAGGCCCATTAGCTCCAGATCGTTGCTAAAGTGCGAGGGAGAAGAGGACAAAATGGGATATGAGTATTGGTATTGGTATAACATGGCCTTAACCCTCGTTCAACTGAATGCTAAAGTAAAGTAGTATAGCTAAAGTAACTCTCCTTTGCAACTAAAGCGATTGCTTATCTAAAATCCTTGAAAGCTTTCTATTCCTTATTTGCTTTAATAATGAACCTCTCGCTCTATTCTTTTCCTACATTCATATCGAGCGATCTACCCCGATCTAGCTACCCTCTTTTCATTTTGCTAAGCTTCACTTAATCATTTTACCCTCTTTTCCCCCTATCGATCTATCCCCCCTAATTGATCACCCTTTGCTCACCTGTCTCTTTCCAGCTCAAGTGTGGATTGCGCATTGCGCAATTTGCCGGGACCATAGCAGTGCTCCACCTCGGAGTCGTCTTCATCGTCATCGGCATCGGCCTCGTCGTCTGTGCTCAGTTGCCTGGCATTACAAAGAGAATGGATTAGAGGGGCTCTGTTAACCTTAGGCATCCGCTCCAGCAGACTTACAGCTTCTCTAGCATATGCTGACGATTGAGCTTGCGCAGACGCTTCAGCTCTGTCTCGCGGCTTTTGAGGTCCTGCAGCTCACGCTGGATCTTCTGCTCGACGGGCACATAGCCTCGTCTCAGTGGCCTGCCCTCCGAGTCCCGCTCGATGTTGCTATTGCTGCTGATGCTGATGTTGCCGTTGCTGATGTTGCCGTTGGTGTTGGTAGTGCCGTTGATGTTGTTGTTGTTGGCCAGGTTGATGCCCAGGGGAGAGGTCTGCCCGGATTCCAAGAAGGCCAATGCATTGCGCGAGTTCAGCTTGAGGGTCGGACTGTTGCCGTTGGCCAAGAGCAGGGGCTGCCCAGCGGACTGGCCCAGCTGGAGCTTTCCGTGCGAGGCAATGAAGCGCTGCATCACGCCCTTTGTGGAGCCATTGAAGGCGAACTGGCGCTTCTGTGGCTGCAGCTGCGGCGTTCCCGGTGTCCGGGTCAACAGCTTCTGCTGCGGCGGCTCTGGCGTCATGTTGTAGCAATTGGGGCCAATGTAGCGCGACTCCTGCCTGCCGGCCAGGTTCAGCTTCAGGCCAGTCTTGCCCTCCGACTTGTTGTTGTCGTTATTGATGGTCTTCTGCGAGGACGCCGAGATGCCCGAGTCATCCGAATGGTGCTCGTCCAAGCTCTCCTCCTTGTGGCTGCTGCTGTGGCTATTGACGCTGGACGCCAGCGAGGGCGTGTTCGATGGCGATTGCTCCTCGATGGGCACCAGCAGCGATGTAACCGACGCCGGCTGTGCTGTCACCAGCACGCCCTGATCCACCTCATCGTGGCCAGCCTCCTGCTGCTGCTGCTCCAGCTCGCCGGCATTGCCATTCAGTGCAAAGTTCACGGCGATCGGCGGAGAGGTTGCCCTAACAGCCGATGTCAGCTGGCGATATTCCTCCTCGCGTCGCACCACCTCCTTGATTTCCTCCTGAATACGTGTTAATGGATCCATTTTCTAGAGCGGGGCAGAGAGAGAGAGAGAGAGGGGAAGGGTTAGGCAATTCGATATCTCAGAGTCTCTGTACGTGTGTGCGTGTGTGTGTGTGTGTGTGTGTGGCAAGCAGGAAGAGATCCGATAACAAATCGTATTTGTGTAATCGAATATGATGACAAAACGGGGCGCAACGCATGTCGCTGCAGCTGTCAGCTAACAGCTACAGTGAGCACTGCCTAAAGCCATTGAAGCTTAAACCAATTACTCGGCGAATCAAACGAATAGAAAGCGAGACGTGCAGTCTATACGAAGATAGAAACAAAGTGGGAGAGAGGGGAGGGGGCAGCAATTGGAAGAGAGAGCGTTAAGCGAACAGTTGATTGATACCCTGTAATCCGCAGAGAAGACGTTAATGCATTCGGCCTCAACACCTCTTAGACCGTGTGCACAGCGGGGAATACTTACAGTAAATATTGCCAATACTAGTGTCGTTGTCTACACTTAGAGACTATTTTGCCTATTCTAGAAAATATACTATAGTAGAAACCGCCTCAACACAACTTGCTTCGGAGCTATTTTAAATGATACTGAATAAATGTCGAGGCAAACAGTCGGAAGGAAAACTGATGCGAAGAAAAGCTGATGTGATTAGAGAATACTGTGGAGGCTGTCCAATAACTGAGTTCCTCTTGGGCAACTGAGAAGCTGTCTGTCGTAGCGAGTGAGCACTGTGGACTGGAGCGTTGGCTTAGCTTGGACTGAATTATGTGATGTGATGAAGCGCAAATGTTGCAGCTGCTGCACTTACATGCCCGCAGATCGGCTCACAGAGTGGAGAGAGGGAGAGGGAGCGAGGGGAGACAAGAGCAGCGGGAGGAGGAGTTGCTTATCGAAGCACAATTGAACAATAGCGGATGAGGGCCAACGACAGCAGCAGAAGAAACTAAGGCTATGCGACAGAGGGAAGGGGAGCACCCATGGGGAGTAGCAGCTATGAGTTGGTGCTGGGGCTGGGGCAGGGCCAGGGGCAGAGCAGGAGCTTCAGCTGAACCGAATGGAGTCAGCGTAACGAACTGCGTTAAGCGACTTTTGATGCGTGCGATCGCAAAAGTTGCGTGACATTTGGACTTTAAATTGAAATCCGAACGGCAAACAAAGGGACGACGACAGATGCGGGGCGTGGCGGGGGGCTGGCCGGAGTGGGGGGCTTAGAGGCTGTTCGTCAGAAATGCTAAACATACACGAAATGAAACAATCGAGAGTAAAAGTGTTTGAAAGTAAAAAAATATAATAATAATAATAAACAACAACCAGAGCGACAATGGAAATGAACAACAGGTTGTTGATGTTGTTATTGTTGTTGTTGCTGTTGCTGTTGCTGTTGTTGTCACATATTATGGATGATGGGCGTGACAAAGGTGACCTCAAAGTTATGACACCGCATGCCATAAAAAATAACAGAAGGGCGGCAGGCAGAAGAAGGGGGACGAGGGGGCGAGTGCGAGAAAGGCAGGGGGAGCTCAATGAGTGAGAAAAATGAAAATGAAAAATTGTAAATGAAAATGAAAATGAAAATGGGAAGCTTTTAACGGATGCGGTTGAGTGGGCTGTAATGCGATATAAATATATAGATATATGAATATATATTTACGTACATATATAGATGGAGACATAGAGATAGAGATAGCGATAGAGATAGAGATAGAGATAGAGATAGAGATAGAGATAGAGATAGAGATAGAGATAGAGATAGAGATAGAGATAGAGATAGAGATAGAGATAGAGATAGAGATAGAGATAGAGATAGAGATAGAGATAGAGATAGAGATAGAGATAGAGATAGAGATAGAGATTGAGATTGAGATAGATTAATATAGAAATAAGAGATATACAAAATATACGCACACAACAAAACTAAACTTAATTCGAACTTACAATAATTATTTCAGTGTTGCAAAGGAACACAGTAAACGACAAACAATTTGTGTTCGTTGTCTTGAAGTGCGTCTAATTGAAGTGACAGACCACAAATGAGCCAGCTCGAGGCTGGCCCAAGCTTTATATGAAAGTAGATTTGGAAAGGGAGCAGCGAAGCATATGTTCAACTGACAAATCTACTCTGCTGATCTTCGTCAGTCGGCAGTCGCCAGTCGCTGGGTCCAACAGCTGTGTCTGGATGCCATTCTCGCAGCTCGATTGTAATCGAGGCAAATTTGTTGTGGGCAACAGCTGTTTAGATTGGGGCCGAGTTCAAGTCGTACCAGTCAAGGTGAAGGGGAGACTCTGCCCACTTGATAGCCAATGCAAATTACCAGCTGATTGTCAAGGAATTTAGCTGCTACTGCTGGATTTGGATATTTTCGGAGTTAAGCGACAAGTAGAATCAACTGAGGTCATTAAGAGACAAGCGGAATCAATTCAAGTTTCGGGAAGTCATCAAATTTTCCTTCACCGGCTGCATGTCAACTTCCTTGACATTGGCATTAAATAGTTGACGAGAAAATGCTGCTCAACAAATCTTAGCTGCATGCCAAATTTAAAGATGCAATTAATTATTTTGAAATTTGTCTTTTACTAGTTTTACAACACTGATCGGCAGTTACCCGCTCACTTGAGGCGCATACCGGGAAGTGCAATCACATCAAGTGCATGACAAATTTCACATGATGATGCTAATAACTCTACTTTAGATGCTGCTGTCGTTTTACAACACTGCGCCTCATGAGCTGCGCCTATGAACAGTTAAGGGTTGACAAAATAATTATTTAATTGTCAAACACATGTCAAGTGCTTGTCAATATTTAGCAAGCATATGTGAAAAGTGAGCTCCTAGGTTTTTTCTTAGCATTTTATAACACTGTTTGTCAAGAGCTGTGCTTGTTAGCGCTGAAGTAGCAGCAAATTATGTGTTAGCACATGCCAAGTTCCTGTTAAATTTAACGATGAGTTGCGAAAACTTCACCTTGGAGCTTCCCCATTGTCGTTTTACAACACTGCTCGGCAATTAGTGTGCCATGCAGACAATGACATTGCTGCTGGCCAAATGACAAGTCAATTAGCAACAACTGCGGCAGCGGCAACAGCAGCAACAGCAGCTGCAGCTGCCGTGATCTTTCTTTGGCTGATTTCACGATTCTCCGAGCAGAAAAATTCTTGCTGATTAAATGCAATTTAGCAGCTAAACACTTCCCCCAGCGGCGACAAATGGCAAAAATGCGCTCACACAAATGGCAGAAATGCTACAAGTTGTCGGAGGGGGAGGGGCGCGGGTGAGTGAGCAGTGAGCAGTGAGCGAGTGCCTGGCTGAGAGGTTAAAGTTTGGCTGGCAACATGCTGCGGGTCAGCGCATTGGGCAATAGAGGGCGCTGAGTCTCCATGTGGGTGCGTCGACTGCTGTCGGTTGTCTGTGGCTTCCGCATAGCCAATGTTGTTGTTGTTGCTGTTGCTGTCGGTGTGTCGCAGTCGCATTAGAAAGTGGCAGCAAATGTCGTTGTCTGCCACTAAGTAGCCAGCGATGGCGGCACAAAAACGCAATTCGGAAACACGGCACAGGTAACACTGGCAACAGCAGACAGCGGCTGGCGAATGCAATTTGCTTCGTTGTTGTGCCAGGCTCATCAAATTTTTGCGCAATTCGATGCAGATTTTCACTCAATTGTGCGTTAAACTCAACACGAACACGGACAAAAGCCAGCAAGAAAGAAATAATGAAAGAAAAAACCCGCCAAACTGTCGTTTTCACCGGCCACAGGCAACAACAGCAACAACAAACCGCTGCCAAAATGCTGTACATTATGTTAGTTTCGATATATGTAGTCAGCAACAAGTTGCTAGTAACTAGTTGGCAACATGTGACAGCAGCACACACATATGCACATTCACACACACATACACACATGCACACAGAGAGGTAAACGCCAAAGTGCAATGGCAGCAGCTGCCAATTTGACAGCTGTTGTTGCCCCTTCCTTTTGCTTTTCTACTTTACCGCAACTCTTTCGACTAATTTCTTCTGTGCTGCTGCTTGCAATAACGGCAATTGTGATAGCACATGTCCCAGACAAGCCAAAGTCGCTGGCCCAAGCTGAACTCATTTGCATGTAGCCGGGGTCACTGGCTAAGCGCCAGAGCAGCACAGACAATCCGTCTCTCTCGCTCAGCTGCTCTCGTACATGCGCAGGGTGTCCAAAGATCGCCAAGTACACGAAAGAGCATGGCAAAAGACAAAAAGAATAACAGCAAATTAGCAACAGCAGCAACAACAAGACGCACAGCAGCAGAAGCAGCGCGGCGACAGCAGAACGTGACGCGAAACGTGACCGTGACTTGACTGCTCGCGCTCTCTTGCTTGCTCTCACGCTGGCTGGCGTAGCGCTCTCGCGCTCTCAAGCTTCGGCATTTCTTGCTCCACTTCCAGCCAGCTAAAGCATAACAGCGAACGCTGGCTGCGCTGCTGGCAGCGCTGCTAGCGGGGTGGGCCATATCGTTTCCAGGCGAGTGATCAGCGCATTAGCATGATATTCATAATGTATTTACGGCTTGCCGATGATCACGTTAAGGCCGATCGTAATGATGTTTGCTGATGCTATGGCAGCACGTCAAAAATTACAGCAACAACAACAACAACAGCTGTACACGTATTTAGGGCAATTCATTTAACGTTTTTTGTTTTGGCTATTTTTTTTCGCTTTGTTTATGTTTTGCTCTGCGTTGCGCTGCTCCACGCAATCGAAGCGTGCAAAACAAAAGAAGCAAATGCAATGCGGTGGCAGAGACAGAGAGAGAGAGAGAGAGAGAGCAAGAGAGTGCGATAAAAAGGGGGCGTGCAGTCAAATTTTTGGCCTGCCAGGCATTTGGGTCAACAACAGTTATGATAGCCGCTATGTTGAGTTTAATGCGAATGCGAATGCGAATGCTAATGGCGCCGCTGCAGCGCTGAAAGGATGCCAGGCCAATCAAAATTAGCTTCAATTGTGTGCTTATGCCTCATTGGGCGTGTTCGCTGTCCGGCGGCCACATTT